GAGTATAATAATAATAAGTCTAAGACCAAAATAATAATAAAATTTTAGTGAATATGTTCTCTTTTGAACAACAAAATGTTATTTACAAGTTTGGTATTAATTCAAAATCTCTATTAATATTTAATATTTTAATTTACATTAACATGCCACTACCGGGGCATGCCCCGGGTGTTACACTAGTTTATGAGTAAAATAAAGAGTGTTAATAAAAATGTGATTACTGACTAGAGTAGTAATGAAATCATAATAATTTGGCTCAGTTTATATACTTATGTTATCATGACATCAAATATTCAAATTAAAGTAACCGTTACTCATAATTATATAAATACATTTTATGTTGTAATGATTTTGACAAAGAACTTATTAGAAAACATCACACATAAAAATCACATTTCAAGATTTCAATAGAAAATAAGTTGCTCAAAGACACAAAAAGTTTGTTTACATACTACAAAAATAAGAATTAAAATAGAAGTTAATTCGAAATTGTACAGCTAATTGGTTATAAGATGAAGTTTTATTATCGTTCCAAATTTACAATGAGTTAACAATGACTTGGCAGTGCAAAAATGTAAACGTGGGCACGTGGCTACAAATCTCCTAAAGGAAAGCGTCGTATTATGCTTTTACTTCATTCCCACACCGAAATAAGAGGCGGATCCCCCTTCCAATATCTTTATAAATATATAGGTAGCGGTAGAAGTATTCAAGACATTCGGGTCCTTGTGTAGATTTGCACCGTTGGGCCTATCGAATGGAGTAAAACTATTTTTAATAAGGGTCTGACAAGTTTTGATGCCTTTTTTCACGCATATGCGCGATGCGAGGCGTTGGATTGGCGCATCACACGTTTTAGAACACTGGTGATAGTAATTGGGGAGAGTAAATGGGGTGTTTAAATTATGTGGGGAAAGGAGGGTAAATGGGAAGGGTATGTTAGGCTTTTCATTTGATCTTTCTTTCTATATAAGAAAATGGGAACTTGTTTCTGAGATAGTAAAAAATGGGAACGTTTTAGTCTTTCTTTACTTCGTATATTTTTGTCTGAGATCCCACTAACAAATATTACCTCCGTCCCGTTGGAATTTCTCGTTCATTGGTCAACTTAGATCACTCCTAATTTTTTATTTTATATATCAAATTTTTATCAAATTGAACTTTTCATGATCAGGCTTTGTAGCGATTTTAACGTAGTTTCTGAATATGTAAATTTTATTTACTAAAAATAAGCGGAGTGTGAACAGGGATCGAGTTGCTTTATTATCAGTCAAGCATCGTAAACCAAACTAAAAATAAGCGGAGTGTGAACAGGGATCGAGTTGCTTTATTGTCAATCACGCATCGTAAACCGAACGGGAACATTCCAACGGGATGGAGGTAGTATTTTTCAATTTCCATACGGAAGCACGAGGCGACCACCTCAGAATTGGAATCGGCAGAATCTGGACTCTTTAGATCACCTACTGGAACCAGCAAAGAATTGGAAAAATTCTTAAGATGCGACTGCTCAAGAGGATTAGCTCAAAATTGGAATTGGAAAAATTGGAATTTATAGGATCACAGATTGGGAGCTTTGAAACCAGTGCAGAATCGGTCCCTTTTGTGTCAAAGGAACTTGGAAATCAACAAATTCAGCAACAGACACAATAGGGGTGAGGGCTGGAAAATGGAGGCGGTAGCAAGGACAGTGGCATTGGCGGCAACAAGTCTAATCGTGGAGATAGAACTTAATTACCAGCGGCATCAGGATTCTGCTGAAGTCTCACTAGGTCCTTCTAAGGACATTAGCAGGGGCTGTTCTTCACCACTGGGACAACCTAACCAAGAGTTGAAAGCAAATCTTTTTGCTTTAATCGAACACATTCTTTCCTTCAGTTTAGTCAACTCAAAAATCGCCACAATTGCTAGATTTCTTTTGATGAGGAAGGAGTTATATGGGTGATGCTTTTTCACGTATACAAACCGAGCATTCTCGGTCAGTCACTTGGTGTCTTGGTATGAATTTTTTTGAAATTTGCTTTTATCTTTTGAAGAAAATGCATTTCGAGGTTTCATTAGTTTAATGGCACTTGATAATAGGGGAGTTTCAACTATTTTTATTTCAGAGGGTAAGAAGGGTATTTAATTTGCTCGATATTCTGAAAGAGGGGAAAAGGAGCACTACAGGAGGTTAAAGAAGAATTTGGGATTGTTTGTGCTGACTCTCGAATTGAGGATTTCACTTTTGATAACATAGGATCAATTTCCTCTTTACTGTTCCAGGAAGACTTGTTCAAAGTTGGTTGTTTTTCTATTCCTGAATGCGACGGGATCAGTGGTGTTTTACACAAGCAGAATGAGGCCGGATTCACAGGAGGGCTCAGCAAGTTGCGCTGAAATTGACGGTGAAAAGAAGATTGTTGAAGAATCGCCTCTTCAGACGGTGTAATTAAAAAGGAGATCATTGAAGCATCACATATTCAATCTCTTTTCCTGGGGAACATAATGAGTCTATCCAGTCGGGCTCTGGTGTGGAGGGTGATGTATTTGAATGCATGATGCTTACAGATCGAGAGTTGATAGATCGCCTACTTTTACCGAAAATTCCTTTTACTGGATTTCAGTTATTTCCTAGGAGAAGTGCTCGCATTCAAGCAAAAATGGGTCAGAATCTTTTTGTTCGGGTCATTTTCAGGGAATTCTCGATATTGAATTTGAATGCTATGGGGCATTTTGGATACCAAGCTTGTTTGAATTTTTCTATCACATTTGCCGAGACAAGGGATGACTGACTTTTTGCTAGGTTTATTATTGTTAGGGCAGATGGGTTTTCTTCTTTGTTTCTCTCTTAAACGTTTTTTTCTCTCTCACTAGTTTAGTTCTCTTCAAATTTTCTTCCCTCATTAGCGACTGTACTCTCTTTATTTAATAAAATTTATTTACCTTGCAAATAAAAAGTGTAGTTATTAGTTTTGTAAAATAGCAAGCTACAGATGAAATCTAATGGATAGGCATCGAGCATTTTTTTGTTTAGATAAAGATCGATGGTTGAACATAAGTTCATTTGGATGCAAATATTTGGATACAATCGAGAGTTATAAAAAAATTGACTCCTTTGGTTAGAAAATATAAATTGAGAACGTGTTTAGATATTTAGTTAAAAATAAGACATTTTCAATAAATAAGAATATGCACTATCAACTTCTGTTATTATCGACTAAATAATTGACTTTCTGTTAGTTATAATTACTCTTACATATCTCGTGCTCACGCGCGCACATATATATTATATAACTAAAACAAAATCGTTTCATCCTGTTCATGGCACGAGTAAAGATACTAGTTACATTTCAGAACATTTTAAAGAGAACATAATATGTCTATGTGAATATCTACATTGACACATAGAACTAATTAGAGGGATAGATCATATTATGCAATATAAACCCTCACTCTCAAGAGGCATATCGTTGACAAAATCAATATTCAAATTTTGAGGAGATTTGCTTTTTTGGTTTCGTAATTTTGTATTTTATCCGCTTTTAGTCTCTGTTATGTTGATCACTTGAAGAAGTATTCTCATCAACAACTGCATCCAAGCTTTATTTTCAAAAGATTTTAGGGTTAAGTATTACTCCCTCTGTCCCATTTTAGTTAAGCAAACACTGTTTTTCAAATCAATGGTGTCTAAATTTGACCGATTATATATTTATATACATAAGTGTTGATAACGTGAAAATGATATAAATGTTTTTTGTAAAAAAAACTACTATAAAAGTATAAAATTATTAAATTTTGCATAAGTATATTGCTTAAAATAATTGGTCAAAGTTAGTTATCTTTGATTGGAAAAGTCAAAGATGGCTAATTAAAATGGGATGGAGGTAGTATTATTCATTAACTAAAAAAATGTTCATATTAAACAATTTTGCTCCAGAAATTAAATTTTCCTACAAAAGAAAATTCATTAGTTTGAATTCACCCTGAAAAGAAGAGCAAGGAAGTAGGGATGGACTGAGACGGGTCAGCCCGACCCCAGACCCAGTTCGGTGACCCGGGATCGGGACTGAGGCCCGAACCAAGGGATTCAACAAGCAGGCTACGGGGCTCAAAAATGATGGACCGGCCCAGCAGGTCCGGGCACAATTACTTCTTTTTTAATCTTTTCCCATTGGAATTACTTTGAAAAGACCAAAAAAGAAATATTGGGACTGAGGCCCAAAAAAGAAATATTGGACCTAAAAAGAAATATTGGGCCTGGTACAAAACGTGGGTAAGTATTGGACCTGAATATGGAGTATTTTGGACCCGGATAGTCATGGACTCGGGTCAGGCCGCCCGGCCCGGAACCGGTATTGTTTGGGCCCGGCCCCGAACCGGTACTGTTTGGACCCAGCCCGGTACCCGGTCATAGGACCGGTCCGGGCCACCCGGAACCTGGAGTTAAACGGGGCAGGCTCGGGCCTCCTAAAAGCCAGAACCGACCCGAAACCGGCCCGGCCTATTTCTTTTCTTTTTTCAGATTTTTTGGTTTCTCCTGGGTTGGTCTGGGTGTTTGGGGGGTGGGGGTGAGTTAATTAGAAAAGCAAAAGAAAAAAAAAAAAAAATAACATGAACCGGCCTGGCCCGGAACCGGCCCAGCCCGACCCGGGACCGCTGCCTACCCGTGCTGGTTCCAATTCTTCCTTCCAAAAAAAAAAGCGCTGCCGGGCCCAGGCCCGAACCGGAACCAGCTCGGCCCGGGTCCATGACTAGACCCGGAGCCCGGCCCGACCCAGTCCCAGTCCACCCTTATGGGGAAGGGGAAGTGAGATAAAGGTCGAAGTATTAAACTTGTGGACATCATTACTAGTTCAAAATATTTATGAACACTTCCATTATTATTATTATTATTATTATTATTATTATTATTATTATTATTATTATTATTATTATTATTATTATTATTATTATTATTATTATTATTATTATAGAATTTCTAAAAGTAGAGATTATTCCTATGAATTTTGCTCTAAAAAGGGAAAGGGCAGAGACCAAAATATATCTTCTTAGTGACAATCAGATCAAGATATAATTTCTAACTATTTATTTCATAATAATTGTATACACAGATTGAAGGACGAAACTATTGCGACTAAAAAACTAATTATATGTTCCTCCTAAAAACTGCTGGAGTTCTTAGAAGTTAGAACCACATTATAACCAGAATTCTGTACAAATCCAGTGCATCTTCCATGAAAAACAACTCATTGAGACGTGGAGTTTACATATAAACCAAAGCTGCTTGTTAAACTTAGCCACACTTCATGCAATAAAGTGTAGGCGACATGACTGTCAAACTGTGGAACTTCATTTATATGTGGACTTAATTTTGCTGCTCGAATTGCTTACTCGGATTCCAGCTTCTAATTCTGATCAGCAGAAGAGCAGAACTGTAAATATTTAACTCTGGTAGAGGCAAGAATTGGACAAGGTACATAACTTTTGTAATGATGAAACAGTTCTGGGAATTCCCATACTGTAATGGCTCTCATTGCATGTTAGGTAGCTTGATTCGGCTTAAAAGTTAAAACTCTTATCAACAATACTTTTACCAAAAACCAACTTAACTGAGGCAGAAATGCCTGAAATGAGGGAAACAACACTTTTATCTTCATTTTTATAATTTATTCTAGTTGCTATAAAAGAAAATCACAGACTATTTGGTTCATACAGCCAAATTTTACCTTAAACAAACGGGCTACAGCGTGAATGGTATATGAAACACAAGTGAATATGAAATAACTTCGGATAATGATACTTGTTATGACATCCCACCCCAGTTTATTGGTAAAATGGAAAAAATCTACTCTACTTCTGACATTAAGAACAGAATGTTTTGCTATCACGATATAATGCTATTATGCTAAGCCTATTTAGAAAACCATTATCCACAAGAGAAGAAAATAGTTAGGCTGAAACCCAAACACAATGTACTTACAAAGGCCAAGTCCAAACTATGATGCTGCACCTGACACAGCTTTGGTTGCAGGAGGGATATGTTTCACAGTTGAACCATTTGCAGAGCCATCCTGCTCTTGGTTAAAGCCAAACTCAAGCTGTTTCTCAACGGACTTAAAAACAGAAGTACGCTTAGATCTTATGATTCGGTAAGGAGGAGACCCATTAAAAGGATTTGAATTGATTCTTAGCTGACTATCATCTCCTCCACCACCAGCACAACCACCATCATCGGCCTTCCCAACTTTATGGGAAGGTGTGGATGACTGAGAAGATCCAGCTTTCCTCTTCCTTAAAATAGAAGGCGTATTCCTGAAGCTTTGAGCAGCAATTTTCAATATGGACTCGGGGGTCTGTACACACACACCACTGTGCTTCTCAATGGTGGGAGGGGTTGGAAAAGTGGGAATGAGAAAATCTGAATCCAGTGGAACCACACTTGCTAACTGTGGGGGTTCATAGTATAAGCTACCATACTTAACGTGTGTAATTAGCTTTGGGGTGGAATTTAAGGATTTAATATTACATGGCCGGACAACGTCTTCAGAATCAGCTGAATCAATTTGAGGACTGCTGGTCAAAGCGCCACCCATGTCCTCTACTATTATGCCTTCAGGAGGATGAATGTTTTCCATATCTACTGCTGCTTTACAAACATCTGTTGTTGTTCCTGATGAAGCTGCTAAATCTGTTGAATCGGTCAGAGTGGTTTTGATAGTGATGTCTTCTTTACAAGTATTTTGGGGGACGTTCTTGGCAGAAGGTGGTAGATTTCCTGTGGCTAAGTAGAAATTTAACTTTTTCTTCAAAGAGCTATTCCAGTGGTTCTTGATAGCATTGTCAGTCCTGTATGGAAACAAATCTTTAGTGCAGACTCCCTAAGACATTATAGTAAGAATGATAACTAAAGACTGATACATCCCCTCCAATCCAGAACTATTATACATTTTATCAAAGAATGAAAATTTATTGTTTTTGTAGGAAAAAATCGAATTAAAATGTAAAGATTGCATGTGGTAAGAAAACCCCAAAGACGCCAAAGTTTTACTAGAATGTGAAGAGCCTCAATTTTTTGTGAAACTTAATGCATTGAAAATTAAGTTCATGTGCAGTAGCACATTGGAAAGTAAGTATTTAGCTGCAATAAAAGGTGAGCTGATCTTAAGTAGATATACTACAACTAGTGTAGCTAGTGATTTTCTGAAGAAATGACATTTTGTATGGTTATTATTGTTTGACTGAAAGATCTGAGTTTTATATCTGACTTGAAAGCATGCAAATCATAAAAAAATCTATTGTGATAGACATGAAGTCTTTATTCTAGTCATATTTGCAAACAACCACTTTCCACTTAGAAATAAATTTTACTCCAACTGTTTGCAAAAGATTACCTTCCAGGTAGAACCTTTGCTATTTCAGCCCATTTATTGCCATGGACTCTATGAGCATTTATAAGTGCTAGCTCCTCCTCAAATGACCATGCCTCTTTTTTTATATTAGGATTCAAATGGTTGTGCCACCTGAGAAAAAGTTCATAAGCATAATTACCAACTTACTAAGCCAAGGTGTGTGTGTGTGAGTGTATAAATCTACATAGCAGTCCTCCACCAATTTGACTATGGATGTTAAGTTGTTTCTGAAAGCAAGATGTTTGTATTTGATGTCCGTCTCTAAAAAACGGTGTGTGTGTGTGTATTTATGAGCACATATACAATGCCTCAAAATCGGCAAGCCTATTTGCTAAGCATATTCAAGATAACATTCTAATGAATAAATATGCATTTCATATATAAAAATAAATTACCTTTCACGGCATTGTTTTCCTATTCGACCAGGTAATGACTTGGCAATGACAGACCATTTTGCAGGGCCGTACTGCCTTACAAGTTCAATGATCTTATCATCTTCCTGTAATGGAAAGATGACTTTTATTCACAGATCTGATAAATCATTAAAGAAAACTTCCAAACTTATATATATATATATATGGGAATATATAAATATAAATGCAGGAATGGAAAATAAAATTGGAATAGACCTCCTGAGTCCAGGGTCCTTTTACAAGATCAGGATTTAGAACTTTCTGCCATCGATGAAGGCATTGTACTTCTGATCTATCAGGAAAAAAATCAGCTGCAAGAAAATTGAACTGATAAATTACATTTTTATTTCACCAAAGACAAATATTTCCTGCACGTGTATTTTTTGAAGTTGTGGCAGTTCAAATGTTCACTAAACTAGTAGAGAATAAGCTGATACCAATTTTCTTCCAGCACTTCCCTCTGTATGCTGCGACAGCCTGCTTAAGAGTATCATCCTGTAGAGATAACAATATATCACACTATAAGATACAATAAACATCCCTAGAGTGTGCCCAATAAGTTTAGAATGACTTCCAACACTAATAAAAGCATTGGAAATACCGGCAGGCAAAAAAAAAAACTGGATTTGGAGTATTATCTTAGAGCACCAGCATGCAAAATGCATGATAATTGAAGGCTTAAAAAGCAATGAAGGATCCAAAAGTATTATCTACTTATGGGTTTGAAGAACATAGAGAGAGAAACTGCTAGACATTTATTTTGAAATTATAAGTATTACAATTATAATTATAATATGATATAATTATCAAGACTTTCTTACATAGCAAAAGTGACATGCGCATACCGCCCCGAGTCCTAGTGTAGGTTAACAGGGCTCATGAGAAATTTCATCAATGTCCTATCTTAAACGACTATTTTTCAAAAGTTATTCACTCTCTTGGGCCAAATTTTGGTAGCATGAATCAGCTTATGATTAATAATCAGAATAATCAAAATGAATAGCTTTTGACTTATTTGGCTAATCAATTTTACCAAATGCTTTTACATTCATAACATTCAGCAGATTTAGCCATCTCGGCAAATACACTTGCCAAATGGGCCCTGATTCCTAGGATAGCCGTGTAGGTGTAGTCTGAAAGTTAGTCAAACTTTGAAAGCATCATATGTTCGTCAAAAGACAAAAAACTAACCTCCTCCGGAGTCCATCCACCCTTTGCTCGTCGAATAGGACCGCTTGTTCTTCTGCAAAAGTGGATCTCATGTTTTGATATGTATATCATCATTAACTTTAGTGCAAAGTAACTCATAGAATTCTGACTTCGTGAAATAAAAGTATATATAGATTTCCCATGCATGTGCTACTGTATGTTATAAGATGATAGTAAAACTGCTCGGATCATGAGTCCATCACATCTCATCTATAATCAACATACAAGTAGAACAAGCTTCTATCTTTTTTGAAAGAAACAAAAGGAAAAACGTTTCTATTCTGTTAGCTTCAGTATTCATAATCCAGTCTTATCGGTGAATTATTCCTCTCTTTGAGGTTCTCTCGAAAACATTTTTCAAACGTAGAGCCTAATGCAGGAATCATCTTGGTGTTGAATAAAAACTCAAGAGAATGAAGGTGTGTAAACAAATATTGCTATCCTATGAAGTCAAGGGCATTTAAATAAACTTCAGATAGCAAAAAATGAAAGTCAGATAACTATACCGATGCCCAGGTGAAGAAGGGATGGCGCTAGATATCCCTGGTGACTTGATATTAACACTGCCACTATTCTCAGAAACAGAAGAGCTTGAAGGAGCTATAGCTTGCTTATTCTCAGGGCAAAAATCCTCTACTCTCTCTTCCTCCATATTTTGTTCACCTTCTCTTCCAAATCGCAATATTACAATCAATAAAGTCTACAAAATTCAGCAACCTCCTAACCAATTCCACTTTAACAATGAGCGCCCAAAAGCACCAAAGCTTTAGAACCCTAATAACAAGCAAGGTAAACCAAATCAGTTACTCCACCGACAGATTAAGCAAACCTTAGATCTCAAAAACTCAAATCAGATCAATACTTTATTCAACCGAGCAAAAACCATCGACAGGACAATCACTGAATCTCGAACCTCAAACTATTAACAATATAACGCCATAGACCATTCAAACTAATCGAATCCAGACACTCGAACAAAATAAAAGCACCATTAACTGGAGAAAACAAGCTCACAATATCTCATGTAAATTGTGATGAATTTCAAGAACAATTTAAAGAATTCGATGATATAGGCTTTGACCTCAGGAAGCAAAATATTGGCGGGAATCGAGCTCGAACTCGCCGAACTGAACCCGGAGAAACCTCTGAGCTCTCTAGAGAGATAAAAACCGCCGGAAAGATTGAGCTTTCATTGCGAAGAAAAACCTTGCCCGTTGAACGAAAGAAAGAGGTTGAGAGAGAGGGGGTAAATCCTTTTATACGGTGTATTTCTTTTTATATTTCCTTTTATTAAATAAATGCTCGGTAAAAGTTTTTGTATGTAACGAATATATATCGAGGTCACCGACGGTGCCGTTAGGTTTGGCGTTAAGTTTAGAACAAGTGGATCGCTGGTTCTGTAACGGCAGATGACGGTTTCACGGCATCACGTGTACGTTAGGAAACAAAAGTTTGAACCTAAACGGCACATAAGAAATGCTTATAAGTTATAAGCCTTGTGTGGGAGATAGGGGCAAAGTTGGAAATTGCGTATTAGGGATTAAAACTGATGGTCAGGATCGGGTAATTCACTAATTTGCTTATCGACTAGGAAATGAAATTAAACGGTTTGACACTCAGATCAGGGCTGATCTAGAAAATTCATATTGGAGGGTTCAAAATATTTTTTCGGGGGTGAAAATTATTTTTTAAGGGGCGAAAATTATTCTTCGTATATATATACCCTAAAAGTATTAATAATAAAAGTTAGCAGTAAGGAGCATAGTACGAGCTAATTCTAGTAAATGCTTGTGTTTACGTTCAACCACATCATTTTGCTGTGGGGTTAAGACAAGATTTTTTGAAAAATAATTCCATTATCAGTAAAAAAAAATCTCATATGAAAATTAGCAAATTCATCTTTTCCATCACTCTGAAAAATCTTAATTTTGCGGTCAAGAAGATTTTCATTCATTATTTTAAAATGATGAAAATGAGAAGTAACCTCAGACTTGCGCCGCATGGGATACAACCAGGTAAAGCGAGAAAAATCATCTACAAAACAAATATAATATTTAAAACCAAGATGAGAAAGCATAGGAGACTGCCAAACATCAAAATGAATTAAATTTAAAGCAAGACGACTGTTGGGAAAAACTTTATTAAAGGGCAACCGTTGAGATTTTCCAAAACGACAAAGAATACAATAAAAAATAGAAGCGGAAGTGTCAGAAATAAAAATTATTCGGTCTAAGCTGATCTAACACACGAGTACTACAATGTCTTCCATAAGGAAATAGGAACAACAGACAAGGCAACGGGTGAAGACTCAAGTTAGCGAACGCGATAGACACCATTATCACTAAATGCTCGAAGAAGAATCGCCCCCGTTGTTAGGTCCTTCACAAAAAAAACACAATTTTTGTGAAAAGTTACTGCACGGTTGTTATCAGCACATAATTTTTGAATAGACAAAAGATTGTATTTAATGTTGGAACATGAAAAACAAATTTTAAGTGAAGAGGGCATGGAGAGAAAGTTAATATACCTTGACCAGTATGCAAAACGGGGGTGCCATTTGCTACTATAACAATGGGAATTGGGAGAAAGTGACTTATTAGACAAAATACCTGAATGAGTCATGTGTGTTGAGGCACTTGAGTTAGGATACCACACGATGTCAAAAGCTTCAGGAGCCTGAGCTGCAAGAGCAGGTGCAGCCGGCTAAACAAAATGGGACGAACAAGTAGTAGCGAGAAGACCTTGAGCATAACAAATTTGACAGACTACAGGAGGAGGAACATAGTTCCCTTCAACTAAAGAAGAGCCTGCAGAACCACGGTTAGTAAAAGAAACAAATAAAGAATAAATAAAAATGCGACTGAACAAACATACTCGCCGAACCTGGAACCCCAAGAATGCCAGCATGTGGTGCACCCCCTGAAATGTAGTCATGTACGGGGGTAGCCATAACCAAGTTGTGGGTCGTAGCCATGACCGGGCTGATGTGGGCCGTATCCCCGGCCACACTGCCCGCTTCCCCCATGTCCGCACTGTCACACCCCAAACCACAATCTAAGCGCGTGTACAACCGCCGTATAATCGAGTGACATCACCCGCGGGTCAACCTCACTAAATCATACAAGGCGTTCGAGAAAACAATCCATCCATACTCAGTAGTAAACATGCATAACAAACATCACAATTAAACCATTGAATAGCGGAAATATTCAGCGGTAATTCATAGGCCACATTCGGCCAATAACATGGGCATGTAAGCCCAAAAGTAGTTTATAACAAATAAAAATATCCATGAGCAATGTTTGGTAATTTGAAAGAAAATGAGGAAGCACGAACCACGTCTTCCTTGATTTGATGTCACCCGTAGAAAGGTGCAGGTTGCAAGCCCTAGCTTCAACCTGAAAATGGTGGGGGGGCCGAAGGCTAAATATAGAATAACTAGCGTTTCAAGTATAAGACCCAAACATAGGGTGATACTTATGTAAATAGCCTTTTTCCCCAAGTTGAGAAATACTTATTAGTATATATACACTTGGAAAATAGTCGATCCGTGGATCACTGTTTTGTTTGGGAAAATAGTAGTAGCCAATATTCTTGACTAAAAACCCCAACCCACCCATATACCTATGAGTGTATAGGACTCCTCCTTGTCCATATTTCAATATCATATTTTATGAGTTTTGAGGATAACATAATCCTTGGGTACTCCACCAATTTATATTTGAGTGTTAAGGACTTTTAGTCCTAGGGTCCTCTACCAATTTATTATCCGAGTGTTAAGGACTTTAAGTCCTAGGGTCCTCCACCAATTTATAATCCGAGTGTTAAGGACTTTAAGTCCTAGTATAGGGTCCTCCACCAAAATATGAGTGTTAAGGACTTTAAGTCCTAGGGTCCTCCACCAAAATATGAGTGTTAAGGACTTTAAGTCCTAGGGTCCTCCACCAAGATATAATATGAGTGTTAAGGACTTTTAGTCCTAGGGTTCTCCACCAAGTTTAAAATATGAGTGTTAAGGACTTTTAGTCCTAGGGTCCTCCACCAAGTTTATAATCCTATGATCAACCTCCTATCAACCTACATAGAGTCTATATCATACTTATTCATTCATAGCTAAATCAATCCATAAAGCTTATGTATTCCAATCCATGCAAAGCCATGCATTTATATAAATTTATAATTAACTAATACCAACCGGTATTAATTAATCCATTATCCACCGGTCAACGTTTTCGTTGACCGCCATTTCAAGTCTTGTACGTATCAACTTAATCATCATATAATTAAGTTAATAATATTCATTTGTGCTTCTCTTACACTTCAAACAAATATACATTTTATATAATTCCTCATATCATATTTCATGCATAAACAATAAATTTCTTTCATACAAACTTAATTATGTTGGTTAATCACATGTTTAAATATCTTTTAAACATCATTATGAATACCTATAACATTTATTTAGGTAATCTCATAATTATCCCAAAAGTTATAAGATATTAAGCCGTTCACTCACCTCAAATTAGCGCTATGAAGTCCTACCCTTCTGGGTTGAACTCCGGCGAAACTCCGGAGACTTTTGACGAACTCCGGCGACAACTCCGGTGACTCTTTCAACTCTGAGGAGGCGGCGACGCAGCCTGCACCTGGCCAGCAAAAGCCTGTGCTTGATGAGGCTCTTACATAGAGCGCATGTCCTGAAGACTCTGCTCTTGTTCAACCAACTTGGTCCGAAGTTTTTCAAACGTGAAGGTCTCCGGAAATGGACCAACCGAGGTAATAAGAGACTCATAGTCCTTTCCAATGTAAAGTAAGATATATTGGAACTGTTCACAAGTAGAAACATTGATGGCAACTAAATTATCAACAATAATTTTGATGTCTCTAAGATAATGTTACATGGACTGATTAGGACTTTTCCTAGAATGTGACAGTTGGCGTTTAAATTCCATGGAACGTTCAAGACTAGCAGACATAAAATGGGACTACAACCGATCCCAAATAGCAAAAGAATTCTTTAGGTCATGCACCTCAATCAACACATCACGAGATAATGTGGCGAAAAACCAAGAACGAACAGTTTGATCAAGTTTCAATCAATGATAATATTCGGGATTAGTTAACTTGCGATGATAAATATCATAATCATAAGGGGGAGGAGCAGGAATCAAACCATTGAAAATACCCATCAAACCATGAGACACCAGAAACGACTCAAATTGAGTACGTCAAAACAGATAATCCTCCACAACAGCTAATTTGGTTGTAACAATATTTGTGATATTAAGTGCTCAAAATCCAATATTTTAAACCAAATCAGCTAAAGAAGAACCTAGAACAATGGGATCTGGAGGGCGGGGACCTATGACGCCCCTGATAAGGGAGCAGAGCAACTCTAGGAGCGCCTGCAAAAGTCAGACCAGCAAACCAGAAGGAGCTCTCGGACGGAGAATCAGAACTACCGTTGGAGAGAAAGGAGACTTGTGGCTGTTGTGGGTGGAGCATTGGCGGCGTTGGAGTCCACGTGAAGAGCGGCGGGACCCAAATAGCTGCATCTGATGGTGTAAGAAAGGCGAGCAACAGCTGCAATGTCCGGATTTGAGAGATTAATGACGACGAAGAGAACAAGGAAGAACCCTGAGATGTCGTTGTCGCAAAAGAGGAAGGTTCAGCCGAGGTGAAGACCTGTTCGGACGTCGTTGTTGCGGTAGAAGTGACCGACGCTGACGTCATGGTGGTGGCGGTACTGTTCTCGATGGAAGACATGATGGCCGGATTTTTATTAGGTTAGTTGGTGTTGACTCTTGATACCATGTGAGAATATTTATCAGGCTTAAGCATAATGATATGGTAGCCCTGATAGATGTATTTATAATAATAAGAGATAATTACAATAACAGTCCCACAATAATAAATAAATATACAAATACTCTATTACAGTTGGCCGCAGGGTTTGTGGTAGGTGGCTGGGGCTGGAGACAGTACATGGGCGATTTTAGTCCAAACTGATACGATTACTCCTATTTGGGTAATTTTAAAACAAAAGCTCTGATTTTGCATTTAGCCTATGTTATATTTTATTTAGGAAATTCACTCATGTTTAAAATTTTCTAAATAGGAGTCCATGTTCATACTTGAACAAGAATACCAGTGCAAGGTTGAGCAGTGGCGGGTGTTGGAAAAATGTGTGAAAAATTGCATTAAATGGTAATTTTGGGGCAATTTTTTGAGTGGGTTCCACTTCCGATTTGGGTTGGGTCAAAGTGGTTT